GAAGGATAATCGACCAGAGCCCTTGGACAAACATTGGGCATAGCAAGCACAATAATTTGGAATGTCCTGAAAAAGAAAGAAACTACTGGTGTAGTGAGCAACAGACGTCGAACAGGTCGGCCAAGGAAAACAACAGTAGTTGATGACAGAAATATCGTGAGAGCTGTGAAGAAAACCCCCAAAACATCAGTAAGTGACATCACCAACGACCTCCACAGTGCAGGGGTGAAGATATCACAATCCACTGTTGGAAGACTCAGAGAGCAGAAATATAGAGGCAACACCACAAGATGCAAACCACTCATCAGCAGGAAGAATCAGAAGGCCAGATTGAAATTTGCAAAGAAGTACAGAGATGAGCCGCAAAGGTTCTGGAACAAAATCTTATGGACTGAAGATGAATCTCTAGCAAAGTGATGGAAAGGCCAAAAAAAGAAAGAAAGAAAGAAAGGAACTGCTTATGATTCGAAGCATACAAGCTCATCTGTGAAGCATGGTGGAGGTCATGTCATGGCTTGGGCGTGCATGGCTGCTTCTGGAACAGACTCATTAATATTTATTGATGATGTAACTGATGATGGTAGCAGCAGAATGAATTCAGAAGTGGACAGAAACATTTTGTCTGCCAATTTACGGAGAAATACATTGAAACTAATGGGGAGGAAGTTTATCATGCAGCAGGACAATGAGCCAAAGCACACTGCCAACAAAACAAAGGACTTCATCAGCGGGAAAAAAGGAAGGTTTCAGACTGGACAAGTCAGTCACCTGACTTGGGAGAAACACCCCGAAACAAACAAGAAGTGAAAGAAGCTGCGGTAAAAGCCTGGAATAGCATCACAAATGAAGAATGCAACAGTTTGGTGATGTCGATTGGTCGCAGGCTTGAGGTAGTTATTGCAAGCAAGGGTTATGCCACCAAATATTAAATGTTATTTACTTTAAGATTATTTGTTCCATTACTTTTGCTCACCTAAGAATGCTGCGGTCTAATACAAACGGTGATATGTCCTGAGTTGTTTAACACATCTAGATGTGAATACCAGGAAATGAAAGCTGAAAATCTGAACTCTTGTCTCATCCTCATCTTTTGATCTTAAACCCAAATGTCTTCAGTGAACAACAAAAACAAAGGAATTTGTTCCAACACTTTTGGAGGGGACTGTGCATACAGCTATGGCTATTATTTTGTTTGGCCAAAAACAATATCTGTCCACTGGCAGAAATCCCAGATTCAGATCACCACATAATCAGTTGTTCTTTGACTCCAATAAATGTAAAGCAAATGTGTTCATAAAGTACTGAGACAGACAAGCAACAACTCATTAGAAGAACTCTACTAAGGACAATGACTGGACACCTAAACAAGAACAAACTTTGCTTTTAACAACAGCATCATGACAACAACAACCCTATCTATCTGTGGAAATAAACTACAGTAAAAGAGATACACACAAAATGGTAATCCTTCTGAAAAACATCCAATCAAACAGCACTGCCTTCTGTGTTTAACAAGAGTCCAGCCTTTAAATTACAGCCATGAAGTTGCACAGAGCAGGACAGGAAGAACAAAAGGATGCTTAAATGTCGCAATAATCACCATATATAGCAAATATAATTTAATGCAGTCCAACACAAACTTAAAAATGACCACAAAACAGTCAATAAAAACCAAACTAAAAGCATCACAAACATGATTCCATGATGCCTAAAGTTACTGTTTACTTGTCACTCCCCATCTCAAATCACCCATCTAATGCTTGTAAGAACCACAAACCTCAATTATTCATTCAATTAGTGACTCTCAGCTTGCTGGAAGTAATTTTATGCCGCTGTGCTGACAGGACAGTTGGGAGAACGAATGACTTTCCCCATCACACTGCGATTCAGTTTTAGCACCCCATGTGTGAAAAGGATAATCGTTTAAGTCTAGAACCTGAGTTTTGGAGGGCACCGACTTCATTTTCCACCTCCCGTATTTACAAAGGCTTCATCTCGCTCAGCCAGGGGAAACACTGAGGACACTCGAGGGTGTATTCATTCAGGTAAAAGCCCAAAGCTTGGCAGCTGCTGCCAAGAATGCAGCTAAATAATGAGGCTCGAGTGGAGCAGCATTAGGGCGATAACCAAGCATCCAATCAATTACGTGTTATGTGACACAAGGGTGCTATCACCAATACCACCATTTCACCAGCACGACGACGATCTTAAAAGCAATGATCTCATACAGCTTCATGCAATCATATGTCTGTTTTTGTTGATTCACCTCTGACCATGAAAGCTTTCACATTTGCTGTTCTGAACAGATGCTATTTTAAGTTTTTCTATGAAGCAATTCCCCGCGTCCCTGTACGCAGGGTAAGCGGTTGACGATGGATGGATGGATGGATGGATGAAGCACTTCTAGTGTATAGAAAGTGATGCGTTTTACCAGGAATTATAGGTTGTTTGAAAATGTACTTCATGTCCATGGTGGCCAGTTTAGATTTTTATGATACTCAGGGTTTGGAAAGTGAACACTGCAACACATACGGTACAAAACATAAACAAAAAAACAGACTAATGACCAAATGAAAAAGATATCTGCTGCTGTAGTTGCTGGTAAGACAGGAACAGCTGAAATTAGACGACAAAACTTTTTTTGGAAGCACTCTGCAATCACACCTACCATTAGGCTTTGACAGCTGAGGCCACCTTTACAATGGACTCCATATGACAAACGAAGGGGCATCTGCTCTTCGCACATTCGACACATTTCTAATGCCGTTTAAAGGTGTTCTGCCAACATTTATTTGTTTTACATGCATACTGGCTGTATGTTGCTGTATGTAAAGACAAAATATTATTTTTAACGCAATTGTCTATATATTTTATAATTACATTATATATACATATATATATGTGCATTAAATTGCTCCAGCAAAAATGCAACCAACGGGTAAAGAGAGAGGTATGGAGGGAAGAGCCACGTGTGAGACGCTGCAATTGCATCTATGTCCTCACTAAGCCAGCTAAACTCTCCTTTGTCTCTCCTTTGACCTTCCATCCGTACTAAGCTGGTGTTTTTCACACTGAAAAACAAAGCAACAACAAAAAAAGGTCTCTAGAGTGGATAAATCTGGAAGCTTCAGATGTGCGTTTTAGTGAGGATTAACTGAGCATTTAGAAAACACAAGGCTGCATGGCTGTAAAGTTGAGAAAACAACTTTCTGTTTCCTCAAACTTTTTCTATGATTTTTAAGCTGAACACACATCACAGGTCAACACACTGAATTTATTTTGTCAGAAAACTTCACAGCTAGGTTTTATGAGCCAGAAACAAATCTAATTAAATTGTAAACGTGACTTTATTAACACAGTGAAGGTGATCAAAGAGAGCAGGAGGGGGATGAACAGAAGTTTAATCAACTGGGACTCAGCAGAGTAACCACTCTGTCCCACTTATATGTTGCTTGTAAAGTTTAGTTTTGCTAACTGAAAAAAAAGGAATAAGAAAAGATGTAGCAGTTTTCCTGTTTAGGCGTTTCAGTCTCACCTGATAACACTAAAGTGACAACCTTGAAGCTTCAATATGTCCCTCAGAAACCCACAGATGTCAACACAGACAGTAAAGTTTGTTTTTCTACTGTGCTGGCTTTACTCCAGTAAGCACTGGATCAGAGCTTGGCGTAAACCCTGCAGGTTTTACAGTTTAAAACTTTTTTTGTCCATGTTGCAAAAACAATGGCAGCATGACTTTTTGAAATGACCTTCTCGCAAAAAAAAAATAATAAATAAAAAAAAAAAAACTGTCATCACAGTCAATAAGGTCAGATTTTATAAAATAAAAAAGGCACGATGCCCATTCAGTACAGACATGACTAAATACTACACATGGCTGTAAAAACGAGAACAATCCAATGCAACAATCCAACCCCTAACTGCAAGCCACAGTCAACAATAACAACAGTAGTGTAATTTCTTTCCGTGTTGATCACTGAAAATAGAAAATCTAAGCATTTTCAAGTAATTTTGTACATTTCTTTTTAAGTTCAGCGATGCTGAATGAGGTCCACATAAAAGAATATGCCTTTTGTGCTGGTGAAACAATCAATCGCTGGAGCTCTCAACAGAAAAATATGTTTCTTTTATGGTCCATTTGGACTTACAAAGGGTTTTGAGTGAGCAGTACAGTTAAAATGTGGACATAAAGTGATCAAACTCGATATAAATTTTTCATGTGGGGGTTACCTCGACTTTGTTATAATCTATAACTCAAGTTTACAGAGTTTATAAGCTTTCTGTGGAGCACGGTGGTAAATGATTATGGAAACGTGACATGCAAATCCATTAAAACAGTTGGGAGTTGAGCCAAAGTAGCCGGCTCAGGGCTGAAATGGCTGCATGTCATCATTCTTAAACAGAAAAAGAACCCTAATATCCTAAAACCTCTCCGCGACCCTGTACGCAGGATAAGGTGTTGATGATGGATGGATATGGATGGATCCTAAAACCTCTCCTTGCAGCCACCACTGTCTGGTGTCCTGAGTTAATCATGTTCACAAATACTGGTTACATCGTCCTGAACCAAACACTGATTAAACCTGGTCCAAAGATATTTATCTGATGGCCCTGTCTTGACTGGATTGCATGATGAATATGAGATTAATTACTTCATCGCACCAAAACTGTGTCAATATATTGTCTTAAATCAGTTACATAAGTCTTTAAAGGAAGATGTATAAAATTAGATCATGACACTATCTTTGGAAAAAAGTAACTTTAATTTGTCATTTTCACAGGGCAACAACAGTACTGAGAGATAATAGACACAAGTATGAATGAAATTAATTTTGCTCGTGCTCAACCTGACCAGTAAAAATACAGACTGGTGAATGCTGAATGTGTCTACCAGGAGCTGAAGTCTCCAAAGCTGCTCTTGCCTTTGGACTTCTTGGCCACTGCTCCTCCGCTGGTGGACGGCCCGCTTTCATCTTCAGCAGCGGGACGTTTTCTGAGGGAGAAGAATATGATGTCATAATTAGCTGTTTTTCCACAGATGTGTGCTTCTTCTAGACTGTGTGATTCTCTGATCTTTTCTTACTTTTGCCTGGGTTCCTGCTCATAACCCTTTTCTCTTTGTAAATCAGGTTGTTTATGCCTTTGTATAATACAGACCTTTCAGGTTTCTTCTTCTGTAGGAGGAAGTATTCAGAACTTTTGCTTGTCTCTTTGTGGTCTGGCAAGGTCATGGATGAATTTGCATGAGAGAAGATGTTCTTTTCAAACAGGCTGTACTACAACAGTTTTCTCCTGCAGTCAGACATCAACATGAACTCCAATCAACATGACTTCTTATGAATCTGACCTTTGGAGCTGCAACTAAATTTTTTTTCTCCATTATCAATAAATCTGCTGATAACCTTTTGTTGGTCAGTTTATAAAATATCTGAAAATAGTATTTGTAATCACACAAATTCTCACATTGGAGAAACTTGAACTTGACGATGTTTGGCATTTTTGCTTGAAACAGGACTAAAACAATTAATCCATTATGAAAACAGTTGACTGATCAACTGATTATCAATTACCACCCATATTTCCCTAACCTTAACCCCACCAAACCTTCACCTTACCTCAACCCTCGACTGTTACATAATTATATAATAATACATCTAGATTTCCCAAATTCTCTTTCTGTAGCTGCCTCGTGTTTTCTCACTCGAGCTTAACTGGTGAAAACAGCTGCCTACGGTTTTATATGCGAGGATGTGAGTGGTGAGATGCAATCATAGAGTCAATGCGCAGTTGGAAAGCAAACAATTAGCCAAAAGTGGTTTAGAAATTATTATCTCTTGATTAAATGTCAAATCATCAAAAATATTGCTCGATGCAGGGTTGGGAATAAAAAAATTATCTCATGACTTAATAGAAACCCAGAATCAAGGGTTCAAAGCACTGTTATTACACAGCCTGACATCTAATCCTCCACTGTATTATTTAAATCAACAGATCTTTTCTAGTCATTCACAAAACATTTTAAAGCAAAATTCTAATTTCAGATGAACCATGTGTATGTTCTCATCCCATTTTTCTCTATTGACCAGAATCATCCTGGAAACGCACAAGCAAATGAACAAGCATTTTGACCATTAATGACTTCTTCTACATCAAACTGTCTGGGGAAAAAGGGAACATTCATATGGACATGTTCTTAACAAACCTAAGTATGTGAACACACTGACAGGTAAGACGGGTACATTCTGAAGATAAAACGTCATCAAAAACAGAAAAATCATTAGCTTAATTATCTCTTGATACACACTAGCCAGAGTACATTTTCAGTTCAGTTACTGCACCTTCTTTTAGGATAATGAGTAATGTCAGTATTCCCACAGACGCTCCAGGGTTATACACATTGTGCAAAGTGTCTTGTAATGGCCTTATTTTTTTCTCTTTACTGAACAGATTCTACCTAAAAAAAAATAATTAATAAAAGGAGGATTCTACAAAAAACAAACCTAATGTGGCAAAGGAACAAGAATCTGATGTGTATCATTGATATTACTTTGAACAGTAAACTAAAGTGAGTGCAAATTGTTTTTGTGTTGTTAGACATAAAACTAAAATGAAATATATTGTAATATCACAAAATACGACACAGTATACCTGAACTCAGCACAAATATGGTCTGGATAATAAACCTGAATTATCCCCATGGGGAAAATGGGTAATCTTCTCTATAATTGGCAGTTTTGCACATTATGTTTCTACTCATTCTGTGTAGCTATGTAATCATCATGTTTTATCATCCATTCATTACTATCCTTTTTTCAGAAGTCGCTCACATCAGACTTTGGAGAAAAATGTAATACAGTTTGTGTGGAGGCCAGATAAACTTTTTAATCTAAACTTCTGCCTGAAATCAATATACTTTAACTTGCAGATGCAAATGCAGCTTTTATATACGTCACAGTGATGCACTATGGAGGAGTCACTGCCACAAGCAGAAGCAGAGAGAAGATTGTAGTTTGGTGAATAGTAAAACAGTATGCGTGTGTGTGTGTGTGTGTGTGTTTTGTCCTCACGTTGTGGCAGGGTTGATGTATTTCCCTACACCCGCTTTGAAGGTCTTGGGCGCCTGCTCCTCCTTGGCTTTCTTCTGGGCGATGCTGGTCTGCTGTTTCTCCTCCTCCTGCTTCTGCAGCTCCTTTTCTCGCTCTGCTGCAATCTGCAACACACAAATCATATAAGTTCCCACACATACATACAGCAGGACTTAATGCTCAGTAACTGTTACTTCCCTGTGGACACTTTCACCGTGCAATCTGTGTTTCAAATGCAGGTGGGACAACAAGCATTAGGTGGAGTGTCTCCGCATGACTCTGGGCAAAAACTCCTCCTTTTACACTGACAGAAGACTGTCATCTGTAGTTAGAGGGTTTGATGTAAAATGATTTCACACACCTAAACACTACTGTACTCTGGATGGATTGTTTGGATTTAAAAATCAAACAATGGCTGTTAGGTGAAGTGCTGTCCTCCAGCTTTAATTTTAGGGTAAGCAGTAGAGTAACTGTAGCTCCTAGATTATCTGGCTGCACTGTTAAAAAACTGGAGGGACTGTATATAAAAAGGGCCAAGGTTCCTACACCGTTCACGATGGTTGAGTGACATGATGATTGACATGATGACCACTTGACAAAAATGTATCAAGCAGCAGATATTTTTCTATGCAATTTCTACACAGGTGGGTATGAATCTCTTTAATATCTGCTGCTGTATTACACCATTGTAGGTGAATAAATCAACAGCTTTTTTAAGGCAATATTGGATTTATTTTGCATCAATATGATTCAGTTGCTTTTTATTTAACAGGTATTCATTTTATTTCATGCACATCTCCACTCAGAAATGTATTTAGCAGATTACAATACAGTAGTATTTACATTTTCATGTTCATCTGCTAAAGGGGGAAAGGCTGTGCTCTGTCCTTAAATTTCTGTTTAGATATAAAAATTTGAAGCCTAATAAACTGAGAATGAACTTTCAGTGAAGCAGGAGACATCTGTGTCCTGCAGTTACACTTTTTAAAAATGAAAGATACTTGCATGTGCATAGATTGTGGATTTTTAAATAAGGGGAAAGCAGATTAAATGTTTTTTTAATTAACAAGGAATGTGAACCTTTTTGTGGAAAAGCTTATCAGACATAAATTATTTTAAAAAGGAGAGTATCTTATTATGTCTCAGAACATGTCCAGAGGGGATTTTAATGAATTATTTAAAACCAGGCATTACCTTACAGTTATTTTATCTGTAAATGTTTCTCAACTGCCCTTAAATAGGTGCTTATCCATATTGCCCACCTCTATTGACAACCTCAAAACAAAATAAAGTGTTTTTTTGTTTAAACTCAGTCCCTTTTTCAATTCAAATGTGCTGAGTACAGAACAACAATGAAAAATGTGTCACTGTCCAAAATACTTGCGCTGTAAGTACACACACTCAACGAACACTCAGCAGACAGGAATTTTAGTCTTAATGTGTATCATAAAGTCGGGACTGTTCATGTCCGCAAACAGAGACAGAGATACAAACCTGAGCGTCAGCCTCTTCGTACGGGTCCACGAAAACAGTCGCACTTATGATCTTGATCTCCGACTGTAGAACAGAGTCAACAGAAAAAATTTGGATCCAAAAAGCATTTGGCTCAAGCAAAGGAAAACTACAAACAAATTCTAGTATCATATAAACTATCAAAGACCAATCCCTATAAAATCTATTCTCTAAAATACCTAGAAATAATTCTGCCGATAGATTGAATAAACAGTAATTTTGCGGGACAAACTTCTTGAGAACTGCAACTCAAGGTTTTTGTGAAGAAAATGAGATAATGACATCAATAGAAACTTGGAAAAAATATAGTAGCTGCATTTGTTATGAGTTTTGTTTTTTTACAGCTCATTTGTAATTTAGAATGACACAACACTCTGCTTCGCAAAGACTGAATTCAGCCCCTCAATTGCGTTTTGACTCATCTCTTACTGGCCCTGCTTACTGTCTTGTCTGAGCACCTGCCCTTTAGATGATCCATGTTCGGGTCAAAATGACACAATAGCTGAGTCTTTTACTCTTCAGCTGCAATCCATGTTAGTGATCCAGGACTTTAAAGTGATTCTGCAGTTGCACTCTGTTATTTGCCCTTGACAGGGTTGTCAGCTACATTTCAAGATTGTAAAATGAAACGTAAGTTGACCCAAGACAAAATGTTGGACTGACATTTCTCTGATTCCAGTAGAGTATGCTGATACATTTCATACAAGTAAAATCAGATCATTTTTAAGCCAATCCAGACCTTAAACATCACTGATTCTACCTTTGGTTTGTCTGATTTGGGATCACTCTCCACATTCTCCATGGCTGTGAGTGTTTCAAATCCACCAACAATCCTGCAAAAGAAAAAACACAAACATCCTTCATTTATACATTGAGGTAAGAGCAAGAGAAACCAGGGCACAACACAGGTCCCAGATCACTTTGATCTTCGACAGGGAAGATAAAACGACGGCAGCATATTCCTCACAAAAAATATAATAAAATATAACCATTAGAGACTTTCAGTGTTGACAAGATTCAGCCACTTTTACCATTCAAAATGACAAATCCTATATAAAAACTGATGTGCGCAATAATGACAAGAGGGCTGTAGGGTGATTTCGAGGAGAAGGGTGCAGCTAAGATCAAATCCCTGTGACACCGTCCATCCTGCTGAAGTGCCCTTCAGCCATCTCAACCTGTAATGTTTTAGTTTCAGTTTATATCAGATCGTTATTGTCCCACAAGAGGAAATTCTTTTTGCAGCAAGGCAGCATAATGAGCGTACCATTAAGCGGCTGAGGGATTTGTGCAGACCTCATTATATTCCTCAGACAACAGTGAACATGAGTTGCTGCTAAAAGCAAATGTTTACACTCTTGTTATTAGCACATTGGCCTCATGGTGTAAACACAGAAGAAAAACGAAGCGCTGAAGATGTAGAGACTGTCAAATGCTGGGGGCCAAGAGGCGAACTGTTACCGACTCCCTGGTGCAGATCACTTAAGAAGTTGCTCTCACTTTGCTCTTTAAACTGCAAAGTCTTTATCCAGCTGCTCCAGTGGGGGCTTCCTGTTACCATGTGTAGTGTGAGAAGCCTCGCGCACATATAAACAGTACAGTTAGTTAGGAGGGGGTGTCTCAAGGGCCACATGTGCTCTGCTTCCACATGTTCAGATGAACAGAGGAGCTCCCACACTCAATGACTCACTGACAAAAATAATAATAGGTTATCTATTAGTCCAAAACTATTACCGTTCCAAAAATTTTCATGCCAAGGATCGGCCAATAAATTGGCTTCAGCTCAAACATCACATTTTGTCTCACATTCACTTAACACTACTTGCATTTTTTATGTCATATAGGACACTCAAGGAGTTTCCAGATCAGGGATAGTGCAATTTCTTTCATCATAGATGTAGTCAGAACAAAAGCATCAATATTCCCACATAAAGCACACAACAGATGACACAGTAACCTACGGTACATGTATCTCATTCTCTCTCAGGGTATTTGTATTTTTATATGATAATCAAGATCTATTGTCAAATAGAAGGAAGGAAAATCATTTGAGAAATTGCTGCTGGACAAAAAACCGGCCAGGTAAGCAGGTTCTGCTGATCCAGTGTATGAAATACCTGTCAAATCACAGTACTCAAAAATGATATGAAAATCCAATTTTGCCATAAACAGTAAGGTTCACTGTCCTGCAGGATTACTTGCCGTGGCCTATTACAAGCGAAATGTTAAAGAGATAGCTACCACAGTATAAACAGTATGCCAAAATATCTATATCTTCTCATGGTAGTCATTATACTGCCCTACATTCCTAGACAAAGGGAAACCCACTACGCTTTTGAAGGAAAAGTCATCTGACAAACATTAGGCATCACATCTACTCTTTGAAGATATTCTGAGAGGATTAACATCAACCCAGCCAAAGGGATCACCAGTCACTCAGCTACAAAAGAATACATCCAAAAATCAATCATTAAGACAACTTGTGTGAGAATTAAGAAAGTGTGTGGTGTCCTTATTTTCTATTCATCCCTGTTCCCCAGCGGTGTTGTCAAGTGAGATGAGTAAAAGATAAATAAAAAGAAAAGACAAACCCAACATTTGAGGTCAAGGAAAGGTCAAAAGAACTGACATGGATGACATGGAGAGACCACTGTGATGAAACCGAAAACTAGATACTTGAACCAGAAATATCGCAGGATCCGATTTAGAAAAGAGCCCTGAAAGTATTTTTGTCTGTTTATACAGTAGGATGGATAAAAGCAGTTGTTGCATGTCATTTCCCATCTCTCCCCTTCATTTCCTGTCAGCTCTCTACTGTCAATCCCCTAATGAAGGCATAAAAAAAAAAAAAAAAAAAAAAAAGAATCTGTAGACAGGCAGAACACAGTGGCGGCATTGTGGATTATCAAAAGGCAGAAATACAAACACACACACACACACACACACACAAACACCACACACACACACACACACACACACACACACACACAACACACACACAACACACACACAACACACACACACAACACACACCACACACACAACACACACACAACACACACACACACCACACACACAACGTTGTTCTCAAATGTGAGATTTTGCTTCTTTTTTCACTCTTTTCTGACATTTTATAGATTAAATGTTAACCAATTATTAAAAAAAAATAATGTATATATGTTGATCAATAAAGCCAATCAAGCAGCCTTAAAGCCTAAAGAAATGGCAGTGGAAGATCCTCTCCAAGACTCCTGGTCCTGAGAGACCAGTTGAACAACCTGGCTGTGGTCACTCCTTACCTGATATGCATTTAAAAAGAACTTTCCTCTGTAAAAGAGTTCACATTATGTATAGATCAGGTTAAGTGGACTGCCACCGTCAGTCCCATTAAATGTGCAAAGACTACATTACTACACACCAAAAAACTGGACGCAGAGGTAAAGCAGAAGCTTTGTAAGTGCGGTCAGTTGAAAGCAGTCTGAATATTTTTAGAAAACAGCCAGGGTTTTCTCCAAAAAGACAGCCATTTAAGATCATGCTCAGCTCAGCGGAGAGAGAGACAGCAAGAGAGAGCCATCAGTTTAGATTCAGCATCTTCTAAATGTTTCACTGCTCTTGGCCAGGAGTCTGACTGGAAGTCAATACTGTTTGTACTGTCTGGTGCTCCAGTGAAACCAAATATGTATTAAAGAAGAATCTGAGAGGAAGAGAAAGACAGACAGAGAGTGAAGAAGAGGAAGAGGAAGAAGACAAGAAAGCTAAAAAAAAAAAAAGCTAAAAAAAGATCTGAAACGAAGATGAGGTGCCGACGCCCTTCAAAGCCATCTGCCTCAGCTGCTAAATGAACAAACACCCTGTTACTAAGCCAGAGTGAAGAATTTTAAGGAAACAACTAAACACACAACATTTATAAAATTAAAAAATGACAGTTTACCTTCCAAACACAGTGTGCTTCCTGTCGAGGTAGGTGCATGACCGGAAAGTGATGAAGCTGAGAGAAAGCAAGAAAAGCAATACATTAATTTTAAGATTCAGTAAATGAATAAGTGAAAAGAATTGGAAGTATTGGGAACAAACAAGAACTTTTAGGGAGCCTTGCCTTTACAATAGGTATAAAAGCCATGTCTGTTTACATACATAAGTATATCAGTATTTATTAATGTTCAGCACTGTTTCCCCACACACAGACTTTACTTGGGCGGGCCGCCCAGGTCTATAACACATTACAACTACGTTAATGTACTGCGATTCATCTGTTGATGCCAGCATCAGCAGCACAGAAGGGGTTAAACTTGTTGACTACATGTATAAACTAAGGCCAGGTTAAAATAAAGTATTACCAAGAAAATCTGCTTAGTTTCAGTTTTACCATCCGTGTAGTATTACGTAACTAATAAAATACTTTAATTATAAATGTTCAAATTACTTTAGTAATGAAACATTTGTCAAAATGATTATGTTATTACTAAATAAGTAAAGGCGATAACACATCAAATGTTTATCTGTGCATCCAATATGATACTTTATCTCTGACAGCATTGAGGTTCTTGTCTTCTTGATGGGGGGGGGGGTCAGCAAAGAAATCAAAAGAAGAAGAAGAAAGACAGAAAAACAAACAAAAATATTCTCTGTCTAAAGTTGAGGAAAAACTGCATTTTAAAAACATTTCTTACAATTGGGATGTTGGTGTTTGGACCAGAGTTTGCCATGCTGAGAATCCCCCTGCCGGTATGGGAGAGGTGGGCCGAAACTCATCCTTGAAAGGTTTTCCCCAGAAGGATTCCCCTCCTGGGAATGGAAAATGTTGGTGAGAGAGGAAAGACAGACACAAAGAGAGACATTATCTGATTATTACTGCAGGTTGGCAGACATTTCAACATCTCAGAAACATGAAGTTAGTATGTAGTATGATATATAATATCAGTATCTGGAGCTACTAGCACAAGCCATGTACATACATGGGTATGCATGAGAGAAAATACACATTCCTGATTGCAGGGAGGTGGTGAAACAAACGTGTAGTGCATCAAGCAATACAACATGAAACAAGAACAAGGAAACAGCAACAAGCAGATGAGATGCAGAGAACTAAGTCAACTGGATGTAATGGTGACTCAAACAGTTATGGACAATCCTTGACATAAATGGTATTAAATAAAGAAGGAGGTTCTCGATATTCCGCTGATAAACAGTTAGCATGACAATTAACGTAGCAAAACACCAGCAAATGGTGGAGGAAAAGTAAAAAAATTCAGCTTTGCAAAGTTTCACAAGGAAGGGAGTGAAACATGTCGGGTGTCAAGAACACACATAGTGAGTAAACAAGAAATCTCCACAGGGTTCCTTTAATGCATGAACAAAAAACATCCTTGTTAAGAAAAAGAGAAACTTGGTTGGACAAACACTCCCAAGGAGAATCAGTGTGTCAGCACTTTCAAGCTAAAGTCATTGATAGTTTAGAGTGTTAAAAAATTGCATCCGGGATTTTAAATGTAAAGAAAAGGTTGTACCCTTTTGGGCGGGTACAGAGTTCATAGTGTTTTAAAGCTGTGATGCACAACATTATATTTCAGTATTGTGAATAGAACCCATTAAAATGTATTTAGTTTGTATGAAAATTACACAAATAACGTTTTTAGTGGTACTATTATAAGGGCTGAACGATACGAGTGAGTTTAGTGGGGTGGAAATTTTTGTATTGCATTTTCACTGAAACAAACAAAACAAATATACATATAATTTGTTTTGTAGGCCAGGGAATCTCTGTAGCACACAATGCCTCATTTATAAACTGTATGTTGTGACACATTTACCTGCGATTTGGACATTGCACTTCACCATATTGTGATTTTCAAAATATTATGATTAATAGTCCAGGCCTACTATTTATTCAAATTACTGCACCTTAACAGAAATAAGGCACCACGTATTTTCATAAGACGCAAAGGACTTTGCCCTTGAACATGGAGCCATGTTGAGAGCCTTCAGCTGTGAATCATTATTCAGACTGACTTCTTCATTAAGAATCATCATGATGAGTATACAGGAATACGCACTGCAGGAGCTTATTGGCTCCCAACAGAGGGAGAGGATCTGTC